GTTGTTTTTTGTCTCCGACACGTATATAAAACACTGGTTGTTGTTTTTTGTCTCCGACACGTATATAAAACACTGGTTGTTGTTTTTTGTCTCCGACACGTATATAAAACACTGGTTGTTGTTTTTGTCTCCAACACGTATATAAAACACTGGTTGTTTTTTTTTTGTCTCCAACACGTATATAAAACACTGGTTGTTTTTTTTGTCTTCAACACGTATATAAAACACTGGCTGTTTTTTTTTGTGTCTAACTGTTTCTTTATATTCTTTTTTTACAGAGGCTGATATTGCAAATTCTGTTTTTTCATACGGCCTTTATTTTAGTGACTATTGTGTTCACGCAACAACAAAAATCTGTAAATGATTAGGAGCATTTTAAACTTTGTCCCTACATTACCCGTATCTAATCCTGTACTTTGTTTTGTTTCCATACAGACACACACTCGACAATAACGAACGCGTTCTTAAGCATAGCGTGCCTTTTTATAGATGGCTAAAAAAAGAAATTACAGTATCAGCAAACAAAAGCGCTTCTACCCTGAAGGATACGGTAAAATCGTTTCTAACCAAATAAAACACTTTTTTTAAATATTCATTAGGTAATTTTTGAAATTGAAAACGCTAAAAAACTAAAATGATTAACTTTTCGAAAATTTTTCAAATGTGAAATTTTCGGTCCGCTAAAATAAAGGTGGTTTGTACATCATACATCAGAGCTTGCCGTATTGTTTTGTTGGTTATCTATTTACCACCCACTCCCTCTCCCTTGTACATTAGATAAATCGCACCCTGGTTATTGTAACCTGTTACATTGTATACTATAATGTGTAACACTGCATTCTATTGCCTATTACCATATTATACACTCACTGTACAACTGCTGGTAGGACAATATACATCAAAGTAGTTATTTTGATGTGATTTGCGTAGAGTGTTATTCTTTTATTACCTGAGCCTAACGTAAAATGTATTCTGTTGTTTGTTATATGTATGGTATATTTTACTCGCCCATATTTATATAAAAATTTCAAGAACATGCAGCATTGATTCTACTAATTTAGCCGTTCGTTGAAAATATCAAAAATAAATGAGAAGTCCAGTCTATCACTGATCTAGGGTCACTGATTAAGGAGGGGATTCTCCGAAACCGGTATAACTCTGTGATGGGATTCTCCGAAACCGGTGTAACTCGGTGAGAGGTGATAAATCGAGTTAGATTAGGCTTTACATTTATTTTTTGTTGTCAAATTGACCAGTAGCGTATCAGACTAATAGCTTGACGAAAGATAAACTGTTCTTATGTCAGACATGTTCTTAAACTGTGTCAGAGTAGCACGTGAAAACGTGTAGTTAGCCAAACCTAATTTAATTAAATACTCTTGTTGTTTTAGAATAAATGACTGTATAGTAAGTATTTATTTATTTTCCTGTGATTAAAGAATACCACACTGTTTATCGTCTGTTATTTTTTTATGATATAGCGTATAGTGTTTAATATAGCATTATAACGATTTAATTTGTGTTAAATTGTTCAGTTAGGAAATATGTATTTTGTCTATACACACACGTACGCAAAATAAAATAATATAATTTGTTGATCTAAATAAAATGGCGACTCCATGTTCTAATATAGCATTATAACCATTTAATTTGTGTTAAATTATTCAGTTAGAAAATAGGTATTTTGTTATTTTGTCTATATATATATATATATATGTATATGCGCGTGCGCGCAGTATAAAAAATATAATTTGTTGGTTTAAATAAAATGGCGACTCCATCTAAGAGCGCAATGTTCCTTTGTAGTTATGTGACTTACTTTTTTCTCAAATCTAGCCGTTGACCTGAAGTACCCCCAGTTTATCGGGTCCTCCTACTTGGCTCTGCCTGTGTTACGTGACGCCCACAAGTCAATGCAGATTTCCCTGGAGTTTCGCCCTGAATCTCTCGACGGTATCCTCTTGTACAGCGGGGAACATGCTGATCTCCAAGGGGACTTCGCGGCTCTCACTCTGAACAAAGGATTTGTGGAATTCAGGTAAACGACTCTTCTCTACTTCATTTAGTGCGACATCTGCTCTGAAGTCTTTCAAATGTTGAAGAAGCGGGAAAAACACATCTTCTGAGTATTCATTACTCTGGTAGACACAAGATACAAAGATCCTTCTACGTGTTGTGTGTCACGTTATAATTTGCCAAAGCCTTTTTCAGTAATTGTGTAATGCAGGTTTTTTTCCATAATTAAATAATTACGATAATTTTTTTTTCGCCCGTAAAAGTCATTTTCTAACTGTTGTTATGAAAGTATGACATGTAACTACTGATAGTCCTTAAAGGAGGTTGTAAATTCTATTTGAAATCTGCCCGTATTAGCTTGGTGTAGCAGTGGAACAAAACCAGCTCGTGCTCATTCTTGGGCAATGTCATAGATTCAGAGTCTGAGTTCTTTACAGGTGTTCTTAACAATATGTTTGAATTAGTGAAACCAGAAATAAATAGAGCAAACCTATGTTACCTACTTTGGATTTAAACTTGATCTTGATAAGATTATCTCCTGATGATGATAATTCCAAACCTCGTCCACAAACTTTATTTCATTGCGGTGAATCAAGTAGTGAATGAATCTGAACCACACGCGTTGCTAATTAGTGCAACTGAATGAATCTGAACCACACGCGTTGCTAATTAGTGCAACTGAATGAATCTGAACCACACGCGTTGCTAATTAGTGCAACTGAATGAATCTGAACCACACGCGTTGC